AAAAAAAAAGTTCTGACCTTGTTTAGGTACACTGTCAACCAAAAAAAAGGTTTTCATCTGCTCTCCTTCCCATTCTAGCAGTTTCTAAGAGCCATGAAATATTCACTGCCGGCAAACTCCACTTCTTTGCAGCTTCATATTTAGAACCAAGCGGTTCTTTCACTATAAGATGTGTACTGGCGAGCATGCCTTTTTTTGCATTGGATTTCCGAACAAAGAATTCTTGAACACTAAAATTTACATGGAAAAGAAAGCAAAGGATCACACATAATTAGCCCACAAACTAAGAGCAAAGTTTCTTTTACAACAGCATGGTTAGTTATTTTCAAGAAAACATGCCCCAGGTGATGGCATGCACCCCTTTAATCCCACCACTCCAGAGGCAGAAGTAGGCAGACCTCTGAGTTTGATCACGGCCAGTCTGTTCTACAGACTAAGTTCCAGAAGAGCCAGGGCTACACAGAAAAACCCTGTCTCTAACCTCCCCACAAAAAGAAAACATATACTGATTAAAAGGCAATAAAGTTTGTCTTCATTGTTCGTTGTGTGTGTGTGCATGCGTGTGTGCGCAAGTGCCCGTGGAGGGCAGAAGAGGACCCCGGCTCCCCTAGAACTGAAGTTACAGGGTGTGTAAGAAGCCTAACATGGGTGCTGGGAAGGGAACTTGGGTCGCCACCGAGAGCAGCGCAGACACAAAGCATCTCTCCAGCCCCAGTATTGTCTACCTTAAAATAAGCTAAACTTTTACAACTGCTCACTCTAGGAGAAAAGCATGCTGCCACAACTTTTCATGACATAGAAAAAAAACAAAACACTTCCTTAATCTTTAGTCCTCACCTGTCCTTTCTTACCAAAAGGAGGTATAGAACAATTTAAGGACACAGTAACAGTTTAAAAATATATTCTTTTTTACTCACTATACCTTCCCAAAGCATTTTTCATACATAATCTGAATTGATTATCTGTTATCTAAATCTCAGTATTTTACAGGCGAGGACAAAGACGAAACTAAGTGACTGACTCCCAGTGAAGGACATTAATGGGATAATGAGTAGAAAGGGCCCAACACTGGGTATAAATAATTCAGTCTTTCCTGATTCTGGGGTTTTATGCCCGATTTTCTGTCTTTTAGGACTGTTTTAATCTCCCAGTAGTTTTGTTTTGTCTTGCCTCATATTTAACATTAACACACCAATCCAAGTGGTGTGGTAATAGCTCATCTTGACTTGATGGGATTTGAAATCACCAATGACAAACATCTGAGCATATCTATGAGGGAGTTTCAAGGTCAGAACAGGTTGAAAGATCCACCCTAAATGTGCATGGTATTACTCCAAGTCTCTCAGGCTGCTCATTACTCTCCCTGCTGGTCTCCTAGCACAGCAGTTCTCAACCTGTGGGTCGCCGGCCTTTGGCAAACCTCTATCTCCAAAAATTATTTACAGTATGATTCATAACAGTAGCAATATTACAGTTACAAAGTAGCAATGAAAATAATTTTATGGTTGGGGTCACAACATGAGGATCTGTGTAAAAGGGTCACAGCCTTAGGAAGGCTGAGAACCACTGTCCTAGAAAGATAAGGACACTCTATTTGGTACATCGCCATTGTACCTTCTCTGTGTGAGGAGTACTCTTCATATATAGGACTCTTCTTTTTCTTGTTTAATGCCTTTTGATCTGCAACCTGGCTGATAATAAAACTACAATCCCCCTCTGTCTGTATATACTTCTGCCTTGGCCATCATTTCTCCCCAGAATGTTCTGAGTATGCCGTTTGAAAACACTGTGCTCTTTATGCTCTTAATCTAAAAATATTCCCCACTAAATATGAAGCCGGTTAATTGATACGTACTGATAACTGATTTCTACTCTTTTACAAATGTGTCTATGTAATGAACAATTAGGGAGGTTTAGTACTGAAGGATTTTGCAAGTAATTTTTAAATTCCTTTCTTTCAAAAGTTCCTTGTATACCTTGCAAAGTGCTCCATTTGCATTTCTGGTTGAAACAAGAGTAGCAATGGATATGCATTTAAAAGAAGATTAAGAAAGAGGAAGAGGAAGAAGTGGAAGGAAGAGAAAAAGAAAGGAGGAGGAAAAGAAGGAGGAGGCATGGAAAGGCACAATACTTAGAGAAGCACAATTCCATAACAGCCCACACACATCAGCAGTAATCATTCCTTTTCATGGTGATTGGACCAATGAAAGAATTCAATGCCTACAGCCTTAAAAGTCTGCCAAACATCCGTCTGGTTGCATACAGTCACGGTGCCTAACCATCAACCACACATACAAATAAAATCCTGGCCAAATGTAATTAAACATTTTCCAAAAAGTCAAAACAAACAAAACATGGTATGGTTGGGGATGCCATTGTAGAGCCCTTGGGCCCTCAGCTTGATGCCTAATTCTCTGTGTGTGTGCTCACACGCAGCAGATATACTGAAAATATTACATACCTTGCTCCAAGGTGACTTGCTAGGAATATCAAGGAATCTCTTTCTGCTCCAACGCACTGACTGAATGAAATCACACAGTCCTCTAAAGGAGTCACTCCTGGCATTACTGAGACTGGTGTGAAGAGGGGATTCGACTTGGGATCAACTAGTATCTGGTTATCTATACATGTGACCTTTGAAAACAATAAAGCTACTGTAAGAAACAAGTGGTTCAGAAAAGCTCAGTTACAATACTAGCAATTTTAGTTTAAAGAAATAGGAATTGTACATCAACAGACTTGAACATGCTCATTCTCAGCACCTTCCAAATGATTACTCAAAGAAATATGCAGACATCAATTCTTTACATCTACATATTAAATCAGTAAGATGTATTACTATAGCAACTGGAAGTTACTATAAACTTTACCTATTTCAATGATGTTTTACATTCTTTTGAGGAAGGATAAACAGTATGATGACGGGCCACAATGACCCCCTGATGAGTACTGCCGCCACAGCCCCGTGACAGCAACTTTTGTAGTTCAGTGTTAATACCCAGAAGTACAGACTTGTAAATTCTTTAGAGGATATTTTAATTTTTAATGTGTATATGTATGTATGAGAATGCGGGTTGTGCACGTGAGTGCAGTGGAAGCCAGAAGAAAGTGTCAGACCACCTGAAGCTAGAGTTATAGATTTAGGGCCAAGAAGCCAAAGATTTTTTTAAAAATTTTAAACTATGATTACTGTATGTGCATGAAAATACACAGAGGAGAAAGTCTACACAGGTGCCTGTGGGAGGGTACACATCTGAGAAGGAGGGAAAAAGAGAGGGAGAGGAAGAGAAAAAAAAAACGATGCAGAAAATCAGAAAACAACTTTTGGGAGTTCTCTCCTCCCACCCTGGGTCCTGGGGCTCAAACTCAGCCTGTCAGGCTTCCACCATAAGCACCTTTATCCACGGGGCTACTTTGCTGGTCTCCCATTCCTGTATTTTAAAACTGCCTTTGCCCAAACCAAATGCCAGCTTAGGTAAACTAAACAGTTTCAAAAGTAAGCATTAAGACTCTGGCAGCCAAAAATCCTTCAATATTGGATTGTGACTGTCAGATGTTTCTTACCAGCCATGTATTTGTAACAACTTCTCCCACTGTTGCTTCTACTGCACACCCCAGCAGCGGAACCACAGCATAGTCAGCAACGATTCTGCTGGGAAGGGACACAATCTTTCCAGCATGCTCTCTTATGATGTTTAAAATATTACATTCATTTTCACTACTAAAACCCAAAACAAGAAAACTCTTTTGGCTAAATAAGCCTTCTTCAGGAACTGTAGAGCCATCAAGGAGGCAATGAGCGACAGATGACAGATTTTCCTCTTGCAGAGAAATGTGAGTGGAATCACCACAGGGCTCAATGTGAGTACAATCACTGCAAGGCCCAGCTTCAGTCTCTATAGCTTCAGATGGCTTGGATTCAACTGGAAAAGAAAAAAAGAGAGGTTTCTATTTGAGTTACTAGACTTAAGAGTTTATTTCCACAGGGTGTGAGGATGTACAGGTTTTTATCCCAACACTTGGGAAACATAAGCAGGCAAAATCTCTGTGAGTTTGAGGGCAAATTGGTTTACACAGCAATTTCGAAACCAACCAAAGCTACACAGTAATGTCCCAGCAAAGACACTTATTTAACAGAGTCTGATAATACTTTTAAGACATAGGCTTAAATATTCATCCCCAAATGTTACAAGATTTGCCATCTTCAATTAGAAAACACAACTGTCATGTCAGTTCTGAGTATAAAACTAGAGCAGAAAACCAAATTACCTGAGAATTATGACGGTCTAGTAGATGTGTTTTTGGTTTTCTTTTAGTTTTTTATTTTGTTTCGTTTTGGGACAGGGTCTCAGTATCTAGTCCTGGCTGCCCTGGAGCTTGTAATGTGGACCAGCCTGGCCTCAAGAGCCTCCTGCCTCTGCCTCCCCAGTGCTAGAAGTAAAAGGGTGTGCCACTGAATAAAGTTAAAAAAATTAAAAAAATATATATTTTGTTTCCCAGAATTGAACAATTATAATTAAATGGAAAACTGTGTGTTATGGTGGAAATAGAGAACCACAAAGTAAACATACTTGATGTATGCCAAACTAGATACAGCCAGACCTAATGAAATAGGCCTGTAACACCAACTACTCAGAAAGCTGAGGCAGGAGAATTGCAAGTTCAAAACCCACCTGCCCTACAGAGAAGTCCAAGGCCAGACTAAGCCTTAAAGCTAAAAATAAAAAGAAGGTTCCAGCTCAATGATAAACCCTATGCCTGAGTCACACCTCAGCAACTGCAATAAAGAAGCAAGTAAATTACCTAGATACAAAATTCAAATAATCATATATAAAGACATCTAAACATGATACAAACTATAAAGAAACCCAGGAAGGGACTTCACAGGAGGCTCTTGGCACAGGGGTAATGCTCAACTTTCATAAATAAACAATATGTGATTATTCATCACAGAATTCTATCTTCTGATCTATCACAAATTTCACAAGACACTTTAAAAAGAAAGGTTAGTTCTATTTGTTGGTATTCAACCTTACCACACTGGTGAAACTATATACTGAGACAGCAGTACCAAGAACAGGACTGCATGCACGAACGACCTCCCAAAGCCCAGTCAGGGGGCATTTGTTACAAAGTTATGTTATTACAATCCACACACAGGTGCCAGGGAGATGGCTCAGTGGTTAAGATCAATGTACAGCTCTTACAAAGAACCTGAGTTCTAGTGCCAGCATCCACTTCAGCCACAAATGCCTGTAATTATAGCTCCATGAAGATCTCACCTCTGACCTCAGGCACCAGTACACACACACACACACACACACACACACACACACACACACACACACA